TTATTTTCAAAATTACATTTTTTAAAGTTTAAAAATGATGTTGCAGAAATAAACTGAAACATGTTAGTAACGACTCATATTTAAATGAAAAAAATTACAAACATTTAAATCAAAACAAACCAAAAATATAAAATAGTGAAAATCTTATGCACGGCAATAAGCATCTCAGCATTAACAGCTGAGTAGAGAAATAATTATATGCTTTAATTTTAAAAAACCCATGAAAGTAGAATCAGAAAATGCATAAATTATTAAAAATCTAGAATTTTTGTTTGTTCAAAGGATCACAGAAGTAATATTGACTTTCGCCTTTGAAGAGCTAGATTCAAGGACAGGATATCTGGTGTTGCCGTCTTTTTGTTACTAGCTAGTGTCACCAGTCTCAGGGGTACCAGAAGTCGGCTGTCGCCATGAAGCTCCTGACGTACTTTTACATTTTGTCAATGATTCTGGCTTTTAAATGGCATTTGTGGCTCTAGTTAGAGTGACAGTTCTCTGGGGACAATGTCATACTCACATACTGATATTCACGCTTGTCTCTCTAAGCATCTTCTTTACTTATTTTCCTTTCTTTCCAAAGATAATCCAACCTGCCTTCCCTTACATAAGCAGCCAGATGTCATCCATGCTGAGCGGTGCTGCAGTCAGGTGGATTTCAATTCGTGATGAAGCCTTCAGTAAGTGGCAGGGGCGGAAAACTGCAGCACCAGGGACTGAGGAGGAAGGGAGAGCTGGCGGAAAAGTAATTGATGGAAGCCAAGTGGAATAATGAAGATGTGAGGGAGAAGAGATCACTTAGGGGAGATGGTTTACACGCCCTGTTTTCGTGTATATATAAGGCATCCGTTTATGAGTGAATCTAGTCATTCAAGATGACATCGAAACTCCAGGACTGTTATTGTTGAGATTTAAGGGATGAAGATGAAATCACTGAGAATAACGTCACATATATTCCCCAGCAATTCATATTCAATATATGTAAGTATGAATGCTTCCATTTGCTGAAAAGAAGAGAAAAGACTCAAAGTAAATAAAATGAATCATACAATAGGGAAAATGTTGATGGCTTCTGAAAGACAAAACAGAGTGAAAGTAATCACCTTTCTCTTGTTTTGTCTGTGAGATCTAAGACATTATTAACAGCATTTTTTAAACAATAGACTTAAGAATTACTATTAAGAAAGTGCCTCAAGGGGTGGCACTTGTGGCTCAGTGAGTAGGGTGCTGGCCCCATATACCAAAGGTGGTGGGTTTGAACCCAGCCCTGGCAAACTGCATCAAAAAATAGCTGAGCCCTGTGGCAGGTGCCTGTAGTCCCGGCTACTTGGGAGGCTGAGGCAAAGAGAATCGCTTAAGCTATGGCACTCTGGCACTCTACAGAGTGCGACAAAGTGAGACTCTGCCTTTAAAAAAAAAAAGAAAGAAAGAAAGTGCCTCAAATCTGATTATCACAAGATTTCTGATTATTTACCAAGATTTCTTTTATCCTTCTCTCTCTCTTTTCTTGAGACAGTCTCACTCTGTTGCCCTGGGTAGAGTGCCCTGGCATCACAGCTCACAGCAAACTCAAACTCTTGGGCTCAAAAGATTGATCCTCTTGCCTCAGCCTCCCAAGTAGTTTCCTATTCTATTTTTAGTAGAGACTGGGTCTCACTATTGTTCAGGCTGGTCTGGAACTCCTGAGCTCAAGCAATCTACCCACCTCTGCCTTCCAGAGTGCTAGGATTACAGGTGTGAGCCCCCAGGCTCTTTTATCTTTCTCAATGTCCTATTACATTGTTGCCATGCTGGGGAGAGGGAAGCTAACTGAATTCCATCATTGTCCAGTAATACTTAGCCTTGGGTCAAACTCACCCTGATTCAGTACGGTCATCTCCACTGGCCCCCAGTCAGCGTTCCTCATTCCTAAAGCATTTGAACAACAGAAATGACTGCATGTCTTCCTAGATGTCCTCCAAGTATCTTGAGAATTGTAAATGCTACCTTTGTATCCCACAGAGCACCACATTACTGCAAGTGTGTAATCTTATTGGAGGTCAAACAATTTCAGCCTAAACTGAAAGAGATAGGTTAATAAAGAAAGACTGGTGAACCACCTTTGAGAGTAATGCTAAAGGGAGCAGAACCCAAGGGGTGGAGAATGGCCAGAAGACCCTACTCTAGGGTAGATCTCAAGTTCTGGCATAGAGTTCATTGGAATATACTGTTCTGAGGTAATCTGCAGCAGATGACAGAGGGAATTGGAGGGATTGATGAGGTGTCCAGAGGAGGGTGGGGAATGGATGGTGAGGAACCTCAGCGCCAATCACTTAGAACATGAAATCAATTGTTTTTCATATTTTATGTGCAGGACCTGATTTTTTGGTCTCATTTTATATAAGATTTTTTCAAAGGTCCATGTTCTCCACTGTAGGCCAGTTCTCTGAGGCCTGATGGAGGAGCCACATACTTGTTCAGCTACTTAAAAGCTGTGGCTCATGCTTGAGGCACCAGGATTGCTGGAGCCCAGGAGTTAGAGGTCAGCCTGGACAGCATAGGGAGAATCTCCTAATACACACACACACACACACACACACACACACACACACATATACACACATTCTGTTCTATTAAAAATTTTAAAATTGCCCAGGGATGGTGGTATACTCCTCTAGTCCCAGCCACTTGGGAGGGAGTGTAAGTCAGTCCCAAGTGGCTGGGACTATAGGAGTGTAAATAAGAGAATTGCCTACGCCCGGGACTTCAAGGTTAGAGTGAGCTATGATCAGGCCATTGAGACCCAGCCAGGGCAACAGAAGGAGACCCAGTCTCTTTACAAAAACAAACAAACAAAACAAACAAACCCCCCCCAAACTATGACATTTCAAGACAAGTTATTCAAATTTCAACCTGTGTACCTTGTCTATGCCAGGCGCACACTGGAGGGGCCTGAAGGTTTGTAGGAAAGTTCTTCTCTTCTATGTTCACACTATAGTTGGACTTTTCGGTGGCTGGGGAAGAGGGTGGGAGGACTGCAGCCTTCAATGTTTATATCCAAGGAAAGGGAGTTTAATTTCAGCCTACAGCCTTGTGGGATACTAAGGGCCCCTATCCATATCACACAGAGATGGGGTGGAAAGAGAATAATCAGAGAATTATCTCCATGCTTTTCTCTAAGCTATTCCCTTCCTATCCCTGGTAGCTCTATGTGCCAGTTCTACTGGTTTTATGAGGAATCTATTCCCTGTGAACTGGACCTGTCATTTTTGCTTCGGAATGAATAGCATACAATCATAAGGTTATTTTCTTCTAGGGTAAAAGATGAAGGAAGCATAAGAAACAGAGATTTACAAATTCTCTCCTAGTTTGTATAAGGAACTCAAACAACTCAACAATAAAAACTTCCACTAAAAAGTAGGCAAAAAACATGAGTAGACACTTTTTTAAAAAAGACAAATAGCTAAAAAAAAAAACCCAGAAGAAAAATGCCCAACATTAGTAATTATCAGAGAAATACAAATTGAAACCACAAGACAGTCAGAATAGCTATCATTAAAAAGACAAAAATAAATAACAGATGTTGTAAAGGATATGGAGAAAAGAGACTGGTATACGCTGTTGCTGGAAATGTAAATTAGATAACCTCTGTGGAAAACAGCACAGAGATTTCTCAAAGAACTGGAAATAGAGCTGCCATTTGATCCAGCAATCCCACTACTGGGTATCTATCTATTCAAAGGGAAAAAGAATCATGATGTTAAAAAAGATACTGCACCTGTATGTTTATCACAGCAATAGTTAGAATAGCAAAGATATGGAAGCAACCTACGAGTCTATCACTGGATGATTGAATAAAGAAAATATGGTGTATATACAGAAAATGGGGTATAATTCATGCATAGAAAGAAAGAAATCATGTCATTTACAGAAAATTGAATGGAACTAGATGCCATTTTCTAAAGTGAAACAACTCAGACACAAAAAGAAAAATACCACATGTTCTTCCTGATGAGTGGAGCTAAATAATGTGCACACATGACTGAGAGTGTGGAGGGATAGACATCCAGGACTCAGAAGGGTGGGGGTGGGAAAACGACAAATTACTTAATGGGTACAAGGTCCATTGTTAAGGTGATGGATACCCTAAAAGCCCTGGCTTCGCCACTATGCAAAATATCCAGGTAACTGGCTCGGGGCCTGTGGCTCAGTGGCTAAGAAGCCAACCATATACACCTAAGGTTGCGGGTTCGAATCCAAACCGGCCCGCCAAACAACAATGACGGCTGCAACCAGAAAATAGCTGGGCGTTGTGGCAGGTGCCTGTGGTCCTAGAGAGTTGGGAGGCTGAGGCAGGAGACTCGCTTGAGCCCAGGAGTTAGAGGTTGCTGTGAGCTGTGATGACAACTTGAGACTCTGTCTCAAAAAAAATAAAAATAAGATAAAATAATTAAATTAAATTAAAAAGAAAAAACAACAACAACAAAATATCCAGGTAACAAAGTTAACATTCATACCCCATAAATGTATACAAATTAAATTTTAAAAAAGAGAGATATATGCCTTTTACTTAAAAAAAGGTGGGAGAAACAAATTTATTAACAAATGTAACACTGCCTGCCTCTAGGGAATATGGTTTGAAATTGTGGTGTTTTCTCAAGCCTACAGGATCAAACCCACAACATTTCCCATCAACTGGGGTTAAGTTTGGCGACATATAGTTTTGTATTTTTGTGAACCTAGGGAAGGAGCAGACAGGGAAAAAGTTGACACTCAGTATTTGGGCCTGCGGAGAACCAAGCACAAGCAAGAATAGACACTTTTATTAGGTCCAATTTTTAACAGAAGTTAACAAGATTAGGAAAAGTATCATAGGGTCAGTTAAAATTAATGTCTAAGGCCCTGTGAAGAATGAAACATAAATGTGGAAACAAGATTTAAGGCTACTGAAAACAAAAGAATTGTCTTGTTACAGGGTTGGTCTACTGTGTTGCTAGTGGATTTGCAGTTCTTGAGAGTATGGCGTAGCTTATTTTTGTGCGACCTAGATAATACAACACGATTTCTTTTATTTTCCTCAATAACTTTCCTGTGACATTTATGTCTTTCCACATTTGAGCCCCCTGCCCCCTGAGGATTATAAAATCGGGATGTAACTGTTGATTTTAGTTCGATGTCTCTGGGAAATGCACTCTGCTATCCACACGACGTTCCTCATTTCTTGTTCCTTCAGCTTTACGTATGCATAAAACACGCCGTAGTGGAATTGTCTGTTGAATGCCAGCACATTTATTTGTACCTGAAACAGGAAACAAATAACAGAGACCATCAACTTACTTGGAACATACTATACTTCTGAAATAATATGAAGCTACAGACTGGCTTGTGCTTGGGCCAGGGTTATTTGTGTTTAAATAGACAATGTCCAAGTTGAGCCAAATAGAGGAAAACAGTGGCAACCTGGCAAGTTCTGCGGAAAAATGGAGACAACAGTAGGTATAAAAGTAAGTGCTCAGGATCAGCAGACAAGCTCCAAATCTTAACAACATTGCTAGGCGCAAAGATTGTGGGGAGAACTTTGAAGTGTGTGCATAACTTTGTAATAATACTTGTCTGGCTTCTGACTAGTGGAATGGTCTCACTTAGGTAAAGTAATTCTTCTTTGGCTATAACTTTTAAAATTTTTAAAGTTTTCTAGGCTGTCTAACTCCCCTCCAGGGCAGTGTCAGGGGCCCCTGGAATTTAGTCCAGTCTGAGAGTTATGAGCTTTAATAGGACGCCCTGTTGCAACTTTATGTTGTTATTTTTTTCTGGAGAAGTTATCAAGTTAGCAAGTTATTCTTTAGTTAAACTAAAGACTAACATAGAACAATTCCTTTGTTCTTTCCTATTTTGATATTTAGACTGTAAAGAAGGCCAGGTACTGAGCCCCTTCTGCAGCACTGAAAACCTCAAGCAAAGTACTCAGGAGTGGAGGCCGGAGACTCATTTTTTCCTGCCAAGGGCAGCTTCCTTATCAGTGTCCCTTGCAGCAGTGGTGCAATATGGCAGAATTTTCAAACAATCCTAATATATGGAATAATTTGCATTGTTTTTACTTCTACGACAGACTCCAGAGAGCTGCTGGAAAGCATCTAAGGAGGAGGCTTTATAAGGAGATTCAGGAGCCAGTCTGACCCTGAGGTTTGGCTAACTTTCAGGGTTTTCTGTTAATTTCAATCAGATTGAGAGGGAAAGGCCAATAACGTCATAAAAATGAACAGAATATACTAGAAAAACTACAGATTTACCCGATACAAAACAAAAACCACTTTTGCTAATAGCACTGTATCCCAGGAATTGACTAAAAATGAATTAAGGACGCTTTTGCTTTTGAGGGGGAAGAAAGAATAATCTAGACTGGATGGGTTTTCCCATGGTTAATTCTTCAGCATTATAATTGTGCCCATGAACTATAACTGTGGGTAAACCCTTCCTGAAGGGGAGAGAGACGTGAGACTGAGATGCACTGGCGTGAGAAGAGTTGGTACTTCATCACAAGGGCATCCTGGTTAATCAGCTATTAGACAACTCTAATCCTTCCAGAGTGTCACTCTTTCCCATCTATCTGGTGAAGAGAGTTCCATGTGAAGCCATCAGATGTGAGCCACAGGGCCCTGGCTCTAAGGCAGCAGTACTGACACACTGTTGACTTTCATGCTATGAATGTATCTAATCAGTGTATCTGATCAACTGTAAAAAGAAAACCCAAAGTAAGAATATATTTAAAAATCCATAACAATAGAAAAATGAGCTAATAGCATTTTCACTTATACCATACCTCATGTTCATAAAACACATCCTCCAACGTCTTTCCCCCACTGCCACCTACAGCCTCGAACAAAGGCTTGTATACCTTAGAAACAAAGACAAGAGATTCATTTTCAATGTATTTTGATTTCCCCTGAATGTATGTGACTGTATTTGTTTCCCTGCAATATAGACAATGTGCCTCTATTCTGTTTTAATCTGTGGCAGAAGGCCTGAATTTTATTTTAAGAGGATCTTTGTCTTCCTGAGGAACCACCAAGAAGTCCAAATAATAGGCTGAATGTCTAGCCTCTTTGCCTATTCAAACATCCAGGCAATTCTACTCTCAATATATTCTGTTTGCGCTCATTTCTACAGGCAGGGTCTCAGGGCCAGCTAGGTATGTTACAGAGGCTTAATCAGCATCTGTGATTTGATTAGTAAAGGTTTATGGATTCTTTGAGATGACAACTAAAGGAATGTGTATGGAAGTTTAACTGTGAAAGGGATGGAATTTGTGCAGAAGTGCACACTTTAATATTATGCTAAAGAGTCTCATGCAATTATATATGAGATGTTACGAAAGCTTATTCATTGTTAGGTTTTTCTTTTCTGGAGTGCTTCAGAAATCCACAGGAAAAGATGAGAGTCAAGAAAGACTCAAGGCACAGTGGCTCATGTTTGTAATCCTGACACTCTGGGAGCCTGGGATAAGCTCAAGCTCAAGGCTTGAGCTCAGGAGTGCAAGACCAGCCTGAGCAAAAGTGAGACCCTGTCTCAACTAAAAATAGAAAAATTAGCTAAGGGCTGTGGCAGGTGCCCGTAGTCCTAGTCTTCAAGAGGCTGGGGTGGGAGAATCGCTTGAACCCAGAAGTTTGAGGTTGCTGTGACCTAGGCCTATGCCTGGACACTCTAGCCTGAGGCAACAGAGTGAGACTCTGACTCAAGAGAAAAAAGGAAGAATAACTAGAAAGTCCTGGAAGTGTTACCTAGAGGGTGTGTATGCAACTATCCATAAGTCAGAGGGAATGGAATCAGAGATAAGGAGCATCAGGCTGCCTAAGAGCCAGTGGATGCTGGAGTCAAGGGAGGAGTTAGCAGCTACTTTTCATCTCCCATTTTCTGGCCACTCAGCAGAGAGTGTGGATAAACCAATTCAGTGGTCCTCAACCTGTGGGTTGACCCCTTTGTAACAATGAAAATACATTGCGGCAAGGGAGGTTGAGAACCACTGCAGTAGATCCACATTCTCTCATGTAGTCTACCTAGTCTTTTTTTTTTTTTTTTGAGACAGAGTTTCACTTTGTCTCCCTTGATACCAAGTGCCGTGGCATCATAACTCACAGCAATCTCAAACTCCTGGGCTCAAATGATCCTCTTGCCTCAGCCTCCCAAGTAGTTGGGACTACAAGTGCCCACCACAACATCCAGCTTTTTAGAGATGGGAGCCTCACTCTTGCTCAGGCTGGTTTTGAGCGCCTGAGCTCAGGCAATTCACCCACTTCAGCCTCCGGGAGTGTTGGGATCACAGATGAGAGGCTTCTATCTAGACATTCTGTACCTAATCCCATTTCCCCTGAGGGGTACCGAAAGGACCACTGGGCCAGGCTGTTTCATATAACTTTGCCATGAGCTCATATTTCTAGAACACTGCCCTAGTCTCTTGGGAAACTTGCTTTATCAAGCACTTCAAATGGAGTGCTCAGATGACTACTCCTTAGAGATTTAAACAAGTACTCATTTGGCAGGAATCTTAAAAAATACTAGCTTGGAATAGACATTTGAAGTATTTCTTTGGAAAGATAGTTACAGAAAGAGACACTGCCTGCTACCTTATGAATATTATAACTTCTTATAATAAGAAGTGGCCATTCGATATGTGAGTTTCCCAAGCACATCTGATAAAATAATGTCAGGCACTTCAAGAGCCCGTCACGTACTCCATAATGATCCGCTACTCTCTTCATCTGGTCAAAGTCTTCTGCTTGTGCCAACAGGCGCAGCCCCTCCGGATGGAGCTTGCCGATCCTGGGGTAGAGCGTCTCCCGGTCTTCTTTGCTCAATTCAGTGCCAAAGGAGTTGAGAGTGATGATAAAAGCACGTCTGTCAGCTTCAAACTGAATTTGGAAGACAAAATCAGTGAAATCTAATAAAGTTCTAAGTGCTATGAACAGCACTCTAAATAGACAAGTTCATTTCTGAAGTGATTTGTTTTCCTTTCCGGATGTATGTCTAATTATACTACGGACATGTGTTATTAATGTTCCCTTAGTTTCTTTGTGTAACGGAATCACTGCCTGCCAGTTATCACACAGCAGCAATGATGACCTATGACTCTTGAAACTCCACTAAGTTTTGTTTCCCAGGCACCCCCTAGTGAGTCACTCATGGGTCTCTGTCTCGTAGACCACTAGCAACACAAAATGTTTCTTCCATAAAGATGGGAAGAATGTCTACTTTTTAGGGTTCAGTCAGGGATAGAACCAGATCATGCAAGTAAAGGGCCTCATGTGGTGTTTGGAACAAAAAGTACAAGTCATGTGTCAATACCCCTTTTTAATTAATGAATCAGTAGGACTATTTACATGATGAAACTTTAGGCCACCTACCATCTGTTTGTACTTTCAAGGTTTTGGTTTTCTTTTTTAACTTGCTAGGGTAGGTACCAATAAATCTAACTCTGTAGCCAAGAACTATGAGGCTTGGTGCGTATTATCTTCCTCTCAAGACCTAAGTTTTCTTATTTGGAAGGTGCTGGGGTTGGGGTTGGCTACATGATCTTCATGTAGGTCAACAAAGACTTATGAGCTGTCTTCACCGTGCAGAACACCATGAGGCCCCTGCTTCCACCCCCACATCAGTTTTTCTATTTCATTTAAGCACTCAGTCTTTCTCGAAATGTCTTTTCTATTCTTTTAGTCTGCAGGTTTCTACTATCTCTTGGGTCCCCCTCTGCCTACTGACTATTCTATCACAGTCTATCCTTTGGGGGCTCCTTCTCTGCCCCCATGGTGTTGGCAATGGTGCCCTTGGGTGAACCGACTCTTCTCTTGGTATCCAAAATAACCTGCACTTGCCATATTATTTAGAAATCTGTACCTACATTCCCCCCCCCCCCACCGCCCCGCCGACTACACTCTAAAATCTTTTAGGAACCACTTTTCTCTTGTCCATTGTACTTTCTTTTGAGACAGAATCTCATTCCCTCACCCCACCCACATGCCACAACACCTGGCTAGTTTTTATTTATTTTTTGAGACAGAGTCTCACCATGTCATCCTCCGGACAGTGCCGTGGCATCACAGCTCACAGCAACTTCAACCTCTTGGGCTTAAGCGATTCTCTTGCCTCAGCCTCCTGAGGAGCTGGGACTACAGGCGCCTGCCACAATGCCGGGCTATTTTTGTTGCAGATTGGCCGGGCCGGGTTTAGAACCCACTACCCTACGTATGTGGGGCCGGCGCCCTACCCACTGAACCACAGGCACCGGCCTAGCCGAATTGTATTTCAGGGCTTACTAGCTTTGAAATCACCTCGAAGCTCATTAAAAATGCAAACTCCAGGGCCACTGTCCAGCCCTACTGAACCAGCATCTGCACTTTCACAAGATTCCAAGGTTATTTGCATGCACATGAAAGCTAAAAAGAATTTCTATGTACTAGCCATGAATCAGGTTGTGGCTAATTAACCAATAGCAAAACTAGACCCGCAACAGATTTTACTGGAAGGCGTTTGTTAGAACAGGTGTTTCCTATCAGGAGGAGGGTGCCCGTTAGTTCCATCTGATCCTTTTGATTGCTCTCATGGAAATTATGGGTGAGCCAAAGAAAAGTAGGGAGTGGCCTTATTTGGAAGCAAAGGCATCTGTCTCTGGCTACTGAATATAACCAGTCCTGTCAGTAATTTTAGACCTTGTTAGGATAAGAGAAGAAATACAAGAGGAAGATTTCACGGCAGTAGGAAACCTTCAAACAAAAATGAGGGCAGGAGGAACAACAAGGGAGGTGATGGTCCCACGTGTTCTGTAATGTGCTCTCTCTCGGGCTGTTGGACGTTAAGATCTTAAGGAGAGAACAGGGCGGGCGAGGCGGCACCGCAGACAGGCAGGGCAGCTGAGCAGGGGGCTGCAGGAGATAAAGCAGGACGCCTCGGAGGCAGGGTTATCGCACACACAGAGGAAGCAGTTGGAGAAGCGGGACGTCTGGGTGGCTGGAAAGACACATGAAAGCTTTTACATGCCGTGTCAGGAAGAGAGAACTTTGACTGACACAGAGGTCGTCTGTACGCTCCGTACACTTTCCAGCACCTTGGCCTTGTTACTACTGCACATTGAAATCCTGCCTGCCATCTTTTTCATGCCCTTCTCTCTCTTCCCTAACTGAATATGAGTTTCACTGCACACCTATTATATTCAATTTTCCTTTTGTTATTACTGACTCTATTTTAGATCCACCTTACTCTTCTAGTCTACAGGCTCTTGGTGTGTGAGAGTGGGTATTCTCTTAGAGAAAAGAACTAGTATTTTAGAACTGTAAGAGGACTGTGCTTTGATCAGCCCTAAGCAGGGTTTGACACAGCATCTGAGTGGAGAGGAGTGAATGGGGTGGACTGGTTTGACTGTTCTTGCTGGCACACTGTGTGGGACGGCCTGTGTCAGAGGTCTGATGTCTTTCCACTCTCTCTTCCCTTCAAAAACGTGTTCACTTTAAAGCCGTATCTTATTTTTGTTGTTGTAAGAGACAATAAGGTGCTGTTGACTTATTCAAAATCATTATCAGTTGCACATGACAGAGTTTGCTGATCGAGTCACACAGTCTCCCCAGTTCCTTACAGGAAGAAGAGTACATGGGTAGTGCCATGGGCAGAGGTGTCCATGACAGCGGAATAGACTGAAGTGACTGGAATGGAGCCCAGCTTTATGACCATGTGTAATGACCAGTAGAGGTTAAAAAACATATTCTGAGCTTATTTTTCACTATCCCATTAACCATAACGATGGAAGAACAGGAATAATAGGCAAATAGTATGCTCCTGGGAATTTGCCTTGAATATAAGTTAATTTCTTTTTTTTTTCATATAAAGTAACAAATCTTTAAATAGGTCAAATTTCCACATATTATCTTGGCTAATGCTCTTTTCTACCATATTAAGTCTTTTTAATTCTCCAGGCAAATGAGAATAAATAAGCATATACACAGAATTTATATATTGTTTAAATGCTCTATAGCTGTAAGCATAAAAGAAAGTAATTACATGATCCAAAATATTTATGTAAAACTGACATATCTCTCCAGATCTTATCATTATAGAGGTTATAATTGCTTACCATAGCTGGCTGAAATTTCTGTATAAACATGTAAAGACAGATGAATGAATTATTTTTAATAATGTTTAAAAAAAATCTAAGCTGTTCTGATAGTATGAGATTTGGAAAGGAACAATGAGAAAACTAGGGATAATGTAGTTTGATCAAATCATCTTAGTGATAAGCATTTTTTTAATACCATCCTGTATTTTCTTACATCACCAAGGACCTAATTCTCCCCTATTTCTGATTTTTAAGGTGCTCGTAGTGTGGTTTGGCTTATGAATTAGCACTTACTTTTGTAAAAAAGAATTGTGAATGGCGAATTTAATGCAGAGGCAATATGGCAGAGTGAAGAAGCATATAGAAACTGGAGTCAACTGCTTGGATTCAAATTCTGATTTATTAGCTGTGAGACGTCAGGCAAGTTATTAGCCTTCTCTGCGTCTCAGTTGCCCTTCCTGAAAAATAGATACTAAAATATCCAATTTTGCCAGGCGCAGTGGTTCATGCCTGTAATCCCAGCATGCTGGGAGGCCAAGGCAGGTGGATTGGCCTGAGCTCACAGGTTGGAGACCAGTCTGAGCAAGGGTGAGACCCTGTCTCTAAAAATAGCTGGACATTGTGGTGGACACCTATAGTCTCAGCTTCTCTGGAGGCTGAGGCAAGAGAATCGCTTGAGCTCAAGAGTTGGAGGTTGCTGTGAGATATGATGCCACGGCACTCTAGTGAGGGTGACAAAGTGAGACTCTGTCTCCAAAACGAACAAAAACAAAAACAAAACCAAACAAAAAACCCCAGCCAATTTTGTGTGGTTGTAAAGTCCAACTGAATCCACATATATGAAGCACTCCAGATAGCATCTAGCACACAGTATTATAAATGTAAGTTACTAATAGTGCTATTGTATATCTTTTGTAAGGTTGTAAGTTTTGACATTAACATTTATTTGACATGTTTTTTTGGTACAAAATACACAAACCATATCTAACCTATAGGAGTTATTTGAGTAGGAACTCTACTTTTAAACCATAGGTAATATAGCTTCTTATAGTATGGCTAGTAGTTGAATTTCTGAGAAAGAGAGAGCTTCATAGCATCACTGGGTTACTTACATGGTTAGCATGTCTGAAAGAGATTACCTCACTTTCTGACATTCAGTATGCCCGAGAAAAATGTTATGTATTTGATGCTCACTTTCTGTGTAATATAGATAAGGATAAAAATAATTTTTTAGAGTTCTGCAGTGATAAGATTTTTACTTCAAGGACTATTTCAGCTTTAAGAATTTCAGGCCCAGCATGGTGGCTCAGGTCTGTAATCCTATCACTCTTTGAGGCCAAGGTGAGGGCATCCCTTGAGCTCCAGAGTTCAAGATAAGTCTGAACAAAGTGAGACCCCAAACCCCTCTCCACTAAAAATAGAAAAATTAGCCCGGCATTGTGACAGGTACATGGTAGTTGCAGTTAAATGGGAGGCCGAGGCAGGAGAATGACTTGAGCCCAAGAGTTTGAGGTTGCTGTGAGCTAGGCTGAGGCCATGGCTCTCTAGCCTGGGAAACAGAGTGAGACTCTGTCTCCAAAAAGAAAGAAAAAATTTCATTATGAGATAGCAAAGTATCTTTAACCATAAAGTTTGTGGGGCTCATGGCTGTAATCCTATACTCTGGGAGCCTGAGGAGGAAGACTTGTTTGAGCTCAGGAGCTGGAGACTAGCTGAGAAAGAATGAGATTCCATCTGTACTAAAAATAGAAAAAAAATTAGCTGGATGTGGTGGTGTGAGTCTGTAGTTCCAGCTACTCAGGAGGCTGATACAAGAGGATTAATTGCTTGAGTCCAGGAGTTTGAGTTTGCCTTGAGCTCTGATGACACCCCTGCACTCCAACTGGAGTGACAGACAGAAATCCTCCATCATGAAAAAACAAATAAAAAGCAACACACCAAAACATAAAACTTAACAATTATATGTTTTGTGGGGAACTAACTTCATCACATGCAGTTTCAGAACTTTAGGTTAAAATATACCCAGATGAATGAAGTTAATTTATTTTCTTCTTGCATACAGGACAATGCCTATTAAGTCTTCCTTGAAATCCAAAATCTTCATGGTACCTAAATAGTCTGCCCACTAGTGAAGTTGCTATAACAGAAAATCTAATGAATTAAAATATCCTTTAGATGAAAGGTAGTTTCACAGGGCAAAGTGAAGGCTTAGAAAAGCCCAGAGTGGTATTTTCTTTTCCTATTCAAGTGAATTAGGAAGCCAGCAAGAGAGAAGGATGAAGCCCTCAGCACAGACTATGCTCAGGATGCCCGCAGGTCCTTCTGGTCTCTATTCCCAAACTCCCGTGAATTTCCAGATCAACATTCCTCTGAGCAGAGACACAGTCTGTGGTCATAAAGAGGAATTGGAAAGAGCATAACATCAACTAGAGGGGGGCCATCAGTGGTGGCATTTGACACATAAAGAAATGAGCTTGCCAGCTGTGTGTGCGTTGCCTAACTGAAGTCCTCTTCTGAAAGCTGGAATGCTCGTGAGTTGCTTAGGGAGGCCTTTATTTTAGGATTCAAAGAAGGAACAATGTCTCTGTGGATGAAGACATAGTGGACTTTGGAGCCGAGTTGTGTGGGTTCCCAGGTGCTCAACACCCCCCCACTGGCAGGAATTTGGGTGATTATTATGAGTATCTATAGTCTACCCATTGCTCACAGTATACTAAATTTTTAGTTGACTATAATCTACTTTTTACATATTACATCAAAATGAATCATGACCAAACTTTCATAAGCATTATTCTTTTCCAATTCCACAATAACTCTTCCAGGTAGAAAACTTGAAAAATGTTACTCTTAACCAAAGACACCCAATGACATCCTGCTTCTTTTATTTCTACGTAAAGGAGTTTCTAAGACAAAGAAATCTAAGTAGGGCTAAAACAATACAACGTGTGTTAGCACACTCCTTGGAGCAGTCTTTCTTACCTCAAGAATGGGACACATAACTTCTGCTGTGACGTCACCATGATTCTTACAGAATTTGTAGAAAGCCTCAAGGTAAGACTTTAAAAGAAAATAAATAAGGAAATGAATATATTTCCCTTTTATAAACTTCTAGAACAACTTGTCATGGATTATTAAGTGCCTTAATGAAAATTGAATTACTTCTCCCCTGGGGAGAAATTTTATGATAAACTTGGTAAAAGTTTCATATTGCAGCATGTTGCACAGACTGGAAAAGAACTCCATAAAAGAACAAAATTGGACTTTTCATAACTTATAATTACTTAACAAACCACTTTTTTTTTTTTTGCATGGTTTTGGATTATTTCACATGGCTAATTCTTGCTATTCTAACAAGAATGCCAAGTTCTTTTCTGAGCCCAGCAAATGATTTTAGATTCAGCCCTGTGCTGACATTTCCTCTCTCTCTGAGACACACTTGGGATGGCTCTGAACATGGAGATGTATGGAAAGGCAAAAAGTCTGGGGTGTGGGGTCAGCTTGCCTGTGCTTGAATCTCAACTCTAATGCTTCCTAGCTAACTGGCTTCTGCCAAGGGCTCCATGCCTCTCTTTTCCTCTGTTTTGTCATCTGAGGCCTGGGGATAGCACAAGCACCATAGTTTTGCTAGATGGATTTAGTTGAGGCCTATGGATTGCTTAGAACAGTGCCTTCTGTTGGTTAGGTCTCAGGGATGCCTCCCCTAAGCCCATAAGTCACAAAAAGGAGTATTGTCTGCAATACAATGTTATCTATCTATCTATTTTTGGAGCAGGATCTCATTCTATTGCCTGGGCTAGAGTGCAACGGTGGCATCATAGCTCAGTGCAACCTCAGACCCCTGGGCTCAAGTGATCCTCCTGTCCCAGCCTCCCAAAGTGCTGGGAGGTGTGAGCCACCAGTACAATGTTTTTGAGAGATAAAGTACTGTGTGTTACATATAATGACATGGTAGTATCTATTTAATGTGTCTGTAAATAAAGTACTATGTGTTACATATAATGACATGGTAGTATCTATTTAATTATCCTGTGAGAATGTCTAAAGATGCTATGGTTATATGAGTAAAAATGAACAAACTTTGCTCAGCCTATAGTACATAGATGTACTCAAATGGCAAGTAGCAAAGTGGTACCTTGGATGTATTGTCCCCAAAATGGTCACTCTGATCAAAGTTGTTTGGGCAGGTTAGCTGTGAGATTCAGGGACTCTATGACAGGATTGAGGACAGAAGTGGATACTACATAGCAGAAGGTTGAACTCTGTATGCTGGTTCACCTGCCTCATCTGCCAATTCACCTACCACCACCCAATCAACTCCTTGCATGTTCCAGGCACCACGCAAGGAGCTAGGAATGCAAAATAGGGCACTTTATTTCTTCTCAAAAATCTTGCTGGCGGAGGGAAGTTGACACGCACACATTTCACTAGAAGCCAGGTCAGAACTGTATTCCAAATATGCAAAGCTTCCAAATTGCAGAAGTTGGCTAACAGGCAAAGTAACATTTAATAAAGAACTCTAGTTATGAAGTTTTATGCAATCAAGAAAAACAATATCTGGGAAAGCCATTACCTTGTACAGTTTATTGCGCAGTAATTCAATATTCAGTTCATCTAGGGTATTTTCAGACATACAGTCTTGAAAGAATGGCGCTAGAAGCAGAAATTGCCATACAAAATAAATGAATCATAAGCAAGACTAGAAGCTGTTAAAAAACGTGTCCTGAATACACCACCCTTGGCTCACTCCTGATAAGAACACTGTGGACTTGCAATCCATGGGCTCAATAGGGCTCATAGGAACCAGGACCACAGGAGTTTTTATTACACTTTTATTGGGTGTGAGGCCTAAACACTGCTCCCTACGCTAAATGAGCTATCAGTCCTCATAGTACCATGAACCCGATCACATAAGCCTTAGTTTTTGAAGTCACCCTCCCCCAGTCGAACAGTACTGTTTACCATTTACTGTTACCACGTGCCAGGCATTGCGTTCTCCCAAAACTGTGTTTTACTTTTATTTCTTTTTTTAAGTAGGAATGGGAACCTTATTTATTTATTTAAATTAAGTCATGTATACATAGATCATGAATACATTTATGTCTTTGTGGGATTCAATGTGTTATTTGTACAAATTGGAGTGCTTACATCCTACTAATTAACATAGCTTTCACCTCATTTACGTTTTACTTACTTTTCAAAACCCTGTTACAATAAGGTAAAAAAAAATTTTTTTTGATACAGAGTCTCTCACTCTGATGCCCTGTGTAGAGTGCCATGGTGTCATAGCTTATAGCAACTTCAAACTCGAGGAATCCTATTGCCTCATGCTCAGCTAGTTTTTTCTATTTTTAGTAGAGATAGGGGTCTCGCTCTTGCTCAGACTGGTCTCAAACTCCTGAGCTCCAGCAATCTGCCGGCCTTAGCCTCTCAAAGAGCTAGGATTACAGGTGTGAGCCACCACGCCTGAGCCTGGCCAAGATACAATTATTTTTAAAATGAGCAAACTGGAGTGAATTGAATTGCTCTGAGGCATCTTGTCAAGACTGGGCAGAGCTTCACACTCACAGCTGTCTGGTTCCAGGTTCACCTGCTTCCCACCAGGTGATGCTGCTGCAGTGTCAGGCACTTAATGACAGCATAAATGTATTTTTTTCTTTTTAAAATTTTCTGTTTTAAACAGCAACTGTTTTGACAAATGATCAATAGTAAATTACTATTACCCACATTTCCTGACACTATCAGATAAATGATGCTTATAAAATTATCCCTTAGCATTCTGAATACCACAGCCTTTGTCAGTGACAAATTATAATGAAATTAACACTCATTTCATCATTGCTTCAGATCACTTGACAGACATTTCTAAGCACCTCAGGAAAAATGGCATTCCCAAATTTCTAAAACAAAATGTATTCTATATGCAAACTTACTTAGGCAGAAGTCTAAAATCAAAGGCTGAGAAACTAATCATATAAAACTCAGCTAGAGGGCAGCGCCTTTGGCTCAAAGGAGTAGGGCGCCAGCCCCATATACCGGAGGTGGGGGGTTCAAACCCAGCCCCAGCCAAAAACTGAAAAAAAAAAAACTTGACTAGAAAATTAATTTTTTAAAGAATCGCAAGTTCTATTGTGTGTTCGCTATGGCCTGGTGTGAAGTTCAAGGGTCTGGAGGCTGAGAGGCTGGGAGATGAATCCCAGTTCCTTCTCTGCTACAGATGGTTTGCATGTGACCCTGAGCAGGCTGGTTTACTTGTCTTGATCTGAAAAATAAGGGAGTAGACTAGATGGTTCCTTGATATCCCAGCCACTTCTAGGAGTCTGTGTGATAGAATATTGTATTTATAGGGAAAATGTGAATTAGACAAACATTTTCTTTTTTGCTATTGTTTGTTTGCTAGGGTTTTTTGTTTTTGTTTTTTGGAGTTAGGGTATGGCTCTGTTTCCTGGGCTACAGTGCATTGGTGTCATCACAGCTCACTCTGCAACCTCAAACTTCGAGTCTTAAGAGATCCTCCTATAGCCAGGCATTCTGGCGGGTGCCTGTAGCCCCAGCTTCTTGGGAGGCTGGGGCAAGAGGATCACTTGAGCCCAAGACTTTGAGGTTGCTATGAGCTATGATGCCACAACACTCTACCAAGGGTGACAAAGTGAGACTCTTCTCAAAAAAAAAAAAAATGGAGCCTCCTGCCTCAGCCTCCCCAGTGCCTGGAACTATAGACGCATCACCATGCTTGGTTATTTCTTCATGTTTTTGTGGAGATGGGATCTTGCCATGTTGCCCAGGCTGATCTCAGACTCCTGGGGGGGGGGGGGAGAGGCAAGCAATCCTGCCACCTTGGCCTCCCAAAGTGCTGGGGTTATAGGCGTGAGCTGCTGTACCTGGCCTGAAAGTACATTTTCTAATAACTGTGTTATCAGGCAGTTATATAATTATTGGGTATTCATACCTAGTGGTGTTTCCACCAGAACAGCATTAAAGAGATCTGAAGGTGTCTCTGCAATGTTGACGGCTTCCATTTCTGTGAAACGCCCCAGTGGGTGACACTTCACCAGGATTTCTTTCACAGGCTTTTTTTGCAACGTGCCGTTCATCAGCAGAATCACGTTGTCTATCATGTAACTGCACCTGGGTTAGAAGACAAGTCAACCATTAGGAAAACAGCTGCCTGAGCAGAAGCAGCACCCCACAAATAAAAAATGGAAACTGTTCACACAAACTAGATGAAAGATACAAACCTCTTTTCATTTTGAACTCTGGGGCTTAAATGTGGGGAGGGAAAAGGATCTGACCTCTTTTATAATTTGAAAAGTCATACTCGATATAATGACAATGTTATGACAGTGAACTAAAGCTGTATAAAACTTAGGTTGGTGGGAGTGTAGGAGACAGCCCCCACTCAGGAACTGTCAGGTGTGTGATGGGGTGGGGTGAAGGTGTGAAACTGTTTGGCTCATCAGAATGGGCAGCAGGTTTGAAAAATGGAGAAACACAGACCTAGAGCATTTTACTCGACTTTAAAAACTGACTTCTGGACCCACACAAGAGAAAATCCCAGTTAAATTCAAGAAGGGAAGGGGTTCAGTCGCTTATCCGGTGAATACAATGCACGGATGTAAGTGTCGGACACAGATACAGCTCTGAATTTTACCTGTTATGTGTAAATTATATAACCTGATGGTTTGCTACCCCATATTAACCTGAAATTTTAAAAAGGGAAAAAATAACAAAATAAAGCTGACTGCTATATTTGAATATTCAATAAACCCTTATCACCGAGGATTTAAAATTTAATGTTAAAAAATACTCTATACTCCTTTTCTGTCATGAGATCAGACAGTGAACTTTCTAGCTGTCATCCCTTGAATCCCTAAGCATTCATAGTTTCCTAATTTATATGATAACTTGATGTAAGCTCTGCCTGGGGTATTCTGGGTGTGTGTGCATGTTCACGCATGTGCTCAGCACCTGGGGTATCCAAGCAGTGGGGCTGAGGAGTCAGTGAGACCCAGTTCCTCTTTCACAGAGAACACGGCTTGAGAGAGGAACTAGACAATTACTTAAATGGCCACGAAACATATGTGCTATGCAAAAGAAATTACAGTTTAGAGGTCAGATGTCCTAGGGAAGTGACACTCAGGCTGAAACTTGAGCAATGAGTAGCAACTGTCCAGGCAAAAGGGGCTGGCAATTGGGGGAGAGAGTGTTTGAAGGCAGAAGGAAGGGCATTTGGAAAGCCCCAGTGATAAGGACAAAAGGATATTGAGTATAATGGGGGGGGGGGAGCGGGGAGGCAGGGGGAGCCCCAGTGGTGAGGCTGCCCGTGCTGGTCCTGAAAGGCAAGAGAAGGATTTGCATGTTAAGTGCGATGAAAGATACTGAATGACAATAAGCTCAAGGGAGCCTTAGGAGCCCTGTAATAAACAGTAAAACAGGAGGAGAGGTAGACAAACACATGGTGAAGTGCTGTCCAAAAAGTTCTTATTTAGTTAGGGGTATAGCACTGTGAGGTAGGTACTGTACTATCTCCATTTTACAGACCAGGAGCTGTTGACCCAGAAGATAAAAATCTAGCTGTTGATGGCTCACCCACCGCAGCTAACAAACAGGAGTTAGGAGTTAGGAGGGGCAGTTTAAAGGTGGAAACCCAAGTCTTAGGAAAAATTAGGGGCATATCCTAGAGGGCATGTAAAGAGTTCTTCCCCGAGAATTCCGGGACACCAACATTTAAGGACCTTGAAGGAAACTCAGAGGAATGACCAGTCTTAGGGTGGGAGGTGGGAGAGAAAAACCAGAGGAGAGAATTCTGAGAAATTCTATAGAGTTCTAGAAAGAAGTGATCAGTGTAACGTCACAGGTGTGTCAAGACCTTCAAGCAGATACCCATAGGATGCAGCAGTGACGAGGTCATCTGAGAAGGCAGCAGAGACACTTTCGGTGGGCTGTGTTTGTGGGAGAGAAGAGGAAGGAAGGCGGAGACCTGAGCACTATGTGTTTACAATGAATGGGAAATAAAGAGGCTTAAAAACAGAGTTCACACTACGAGTGGGCCTTAAAGACTGGGACGATAACTGCATGGAGATCCAGGGGCCAAGGAGGCTTTTGATTTTTAGGTTTAGACTTTGTGCTTTATAGATGAGACAGAAGCAAAGATAGACCTAAGCACTCAGTAGAAAGAGGCAGTCAAGAAGGTCTCATGGATCAAAAGAGGTCAGGGACAGGCCACGGATGAACTCAGGTCCTCTAGGTTTGACAGTGAGGAGGATCAGCCACTCCTATAAGATAGACTTGAAAAACGTTGCTTTCTCTGGATAAAGATTAACCTGGACACTTACAAACATTGTCACTAAAATCAAGCAGCGTGGGGACGGACTTCCTGTGCAAGAATTCATTTCTGGCTGGAAAAGCTAGCTGCTTCATTATGAAACGTCTACAGCATATTCCCACAAAAATTCTAACTGAAGAAGTTTCTGAAGCAGGCAATTATCCCTTTATAAAAAGCACATGACTATAAAGTTTCTTCACCTCGTGAACAGCAATACCAAATTTAGACACTATGGAATTTTAGAATCCCTTTTTATCTCTTCAAAATGATATTGAAATGGAAGTGCTTATTTAACTGTCCCTTTATGGCTCAAAAGCAATTACCTGCGAGGGGAATTGCCAGCACTTAATAATCCTTAGCAGGCTCCAGACATTTAATTGCTCCCCACAGCACCCCTGCAATGTAAAAGCACAGGAGCTGCTAGCCTCCCCAAGTTGCAGAGGCCTGACAGATCACTGCTGACAGGCAACCAGTGTCAACCTTGTGGGTAGGATTTAGCCCGCATGTAACAGCCAAAGCTATGCCTGTGCAGTGTGTGCATGTGTGTATACTAAGTATGTTTTATTTTTTACTAATAGAGAGGCTAGGCCTTATACTGCAAAGAGCAAGGGGTTTTTTTGGTTTTATTTTTGAAAGTCTCATTTTTTTGCCCCTGGTGGAGTGTTGTGGCATCATAGCTCACAGCAACCTCAAACTCTTGGGACTCAAGTGATTCCCTGGCCTCAGCCTCTCAAGTAGCTGGGATTATAGGCACCTGCCATGATGCCTGGCTAATTTTTAGAGATTGGGTCTTGCTCTTGTTCAGCCTGGTCTTGAACTCTTGAACTGAAGTAATCCACCTGCCTCGGCCTCCTAGAGGACTGGGATAGTAGGTGTGAGACACTGTGCCTGGCCTAAGAGCAAGGGTTTTATAGATTGGATTCAATTTTATTTTTCTTTCTTTCTTTCTTTTTTTTTTTTTTTGAGACAGAGTCTCACTTTGTCACCTTCGGTAGAGTGCCATGGCTTATAGCTCACAGCAACCTCAAAGTCTTGGGCTCAAGCTATCCTCTTCTTTCGGCCTCCTGAGTAGCTATTAGAACACCTGGCTATTTTTTAGAGACAGGCTGGTCTCAAACCTGTGAGTTCAGGCAATCCACCTGCCTCAGCTTCTGAGAGTGTTAGGATTACAGGTGTGAGCCCCAGTACCCGGCTGATTCCATTTTATTTCAACTCATTATTTGAGCAGCCTTGTTTCTAAAATGAGACGAGGGCACTAGTTCTCATGGTGTTGTGCAGTAAATGAAGTGAGAACCCAGAGCTTGGTCTCTGGTGGGGGGCATGGGCGTCTCCTTCCTGCCCCCTTCCTCGGCTGCATCACCATATGCTCCAGGTAGATAATTATCACTGGCTGTTGGGTCAGCAGGGAGATAGTGTGCCCAGAAGTTTACTTTTTCCAGACTGTGATCTTTATAGGCTTCCAGGGTCACGCATACAGTGGTTAGGAAGGAAATAGTTGCTGATGTTGCCCGGGTAATTTTTGAGCTTAAAGTCACTGAGGTGTTCACCTGGTTCAAATCCCTCATGTTTCAGATAATAGTGCTGGTAAGTAAGGACAGAGCTGGGATTATTGCCCATTCAGTCTGGTTAATTTTTCTCCTGGTCGTGGTTTAGATAGATATCCTTATTTCAGCCTTTTCTAAAGGCTAAATAGTATTGTTCTATCACTTTGACATCAGCACCTGTGAAAATCATAAAGCCATCTAATACTGTGATACAGTAGATTACACAATTTCAGAAAGTTTAGGTTCTAAATAATGCCAGGTCTTTTTGAGGTTTTTACTATGTGGCATCGTCATAAGCACATTCTCACTCAAGGTCTCACAGCAATTTAATACTGTAAGGACCATTATCAACACCACTTTACAGATAAGAAAACTGACGCTTAGAGGGACTAAATGCTTTGCTAAGATCAAAGTACTAGAAAGAAGCAGAGTTGGGGCCCCAGAGCTGAAGCAACTGGCTCCTTCCTGGGTTCAGCAATATTTTAACCTTTCCACTTGGTCTCACAGCTGCTTCTCTTGCCCCTGAGCTTACTGAAGGATGTTGAGGACAGCATAAATCTACCTTCCATGTGATAACTACCAAGTTCTGCTGATTTAACAGTTGCTAACTGGTCAAATAATAGCCATAATTTGGTGAGTTAGAAGAACTGCTCTCCTATGAATAAAAATTTTAGCACATTAGCAGTAGCTGAGAAATGATTGTCATTCACCAAGCACTCTGGCATGAGACAGAAATAGAGAAATGTCTTCTAAGAAAAACAGAGTTTGGTGAAAACCTCTCCAGGGTGCTGCCTCTTCATGGTCACACCTACTCCCTTCCCATCCACCCCCTCAATGCCTGTGGAATAAGAATCTGTTCTCCCACTCTATCATTTTGCCATTTTGTGAATAATATACAACTGGCAGCATATGTGACATTTTGAGTTTGGCTACTTTAATTCTGCTTAATGCCCTTGAGATACGTATAATTCATTCAAGGTGCTGCATGTAAATAGTTTGATTCTTTTCACTGGTGAGTAGTATTCCTTGGTATTGATATACCACAATGTATTTAACCATTCACCTGTTGATAGGCATTTGGGTTTTCTTTTTAATTAGTTTTCGGCTATTACAAATATGAATTGCTACAAATGCTCTTGTGTGGTGTGTATGTCAAAATAAGTTTTTACCTTTCTGGGATAAATAAATGATCAGAAGAGCAATTGCTGAGTTGCATGCTAAGGATATGTTTAACTTTTTAAGAAATTGTAAAACTCTTT